TTTTTAGACCAAGACAATTTTTATATAAGTAATGGGTATTTTATTAAGAAACAAAAATTATGATTTATTTTATAGTATTACTACATTTGAAAACGTTTCAAATTTTACACTAACTTAAATAACGCAAAACGCTAAATTTTTTCATAACGTTTTAATTTTCAATAACGGTAAACGGAAAATTATTTAAACTTTAAATTTGTATAACGTTTAAACGCTTAAATTGAATAACGTTTAAATTATTTATAGCGTTAAACGCTCGATTGCTTATAACGTTTATATGTCCCATAACTATAAATAATATATATTATTTTGATTGAAGACCTAGTCCACACTTAGTGAAAAATTAGATAAAACACAAGCGAAACTTTCAAAACACAGTTAGGTGTTGAAAAATAACTACACAAAAGACCATTCTAAGTGGATCCGGCATTAGATTAAAAAAAAAAAACCACAAATATTAAGGATTCACCTGTTATAAATATTACCAAACATTTTACTTGTAAATTTCGAGCCTGAATTAAAGAAAAATGTTGAGTCGCCCTCCCCTAGAAGTAAATCTGAATACGCCCCTGCGTAGAGGTGGATATAACACATCGCAGTGTATGACGTTACCCTGCAGCACGTTTACCTGTTATAATAGGAATAGTATACAACAAGTGGAGAATGAGATGCGTACGTGCATTGTCGTTATGTATATTTTGCGAAAACGTTCGGCCGGTGATCCAGTCAGCTATTCCTCACAAAAGATAATGTGCTAATAATGTCCCGAGCGTTTTCCCGCGACCTTGTTGTATAGTATCGCGATGTTATACGTGTATGCGACACGTGTGAAGGATGTTTCTCGCGCGGGCGCGGTTCTCACGTGGTATCACGCGGTTACCCGGCGGTACGTGAACCGGTGGATTTCCGAGAAATCACGTCCGTCACCCGAAAACGACGTTTCTATTGTGATTGTTGTTAATATTGTTATTGCAATACTGTCAGTACGGATTCCCACGGGCAGAAATCACTGTTCGCGTTCAAGGATCGATGCGGCGGAACGGTAGTTGCGAATGATAAGCTTTCGGCGTGCACGCGAACACTCGGATTGTTTTGTTCGCGCACGTACCCGGCGAATAAAACGCGTGTGCATAAATCGCGTTCGGTTCGGCGGATTGACAAAATCATTTTAAAACTCCCTTATTTCTTCCGCCGTTTTTTATTTTGTTTTCGCGATAAATACTGTTTGGAACGAGATCAGCGCGCGCCCGCCGCTGTGTCGGGAAAGTATTTTTTTTTTATTTCATTTATTTTTTATTTATTTATTTATTTTTTTTCGTTTGTTCCTTATCGTAACGCGCATTGATTCTTTATAACGTTATTTCGTGTCCGCGCACATCCGAATTCGGCGGGATCAGATTAAATCTGCGCAGGTCGAATAATTGATATAAAAACGATTTATATAACGTCTCCGAGATATATACGTATATGGCTGTGTACGTATAAGCACGCGCGAAAAACGAACAAACGAAAAACTGCAATACAACAAAATACGAAACGTATAACGACACTTTTTTTTTTTTTTTCCGCTCAGTTCTACGCGTTTTTTTCTCCGTCTCTTTAAGTTTTTCACCCGCTGAAAAGACGAACATTCAATAGTATATTATTATAACGAGAGAGGAAATAACGACTTAAATTTTCAACACTTATCAAATAAACCTCCATTTATTAACTTGTTTCAAAGCGATAAACCAGTGATCGATCGATGAGCGCACAAATAAAGCGTTAAACACGAAAATAAATCAATTATCCGTTGGTTATTATTTGTTGTTCTTATTATTTTTTTTTCGGGGAAACTAAATAAAAACTTTTTTTATATCAAGTCCACCCTCCATCTGGAACGGATATTTATGACATTTTATAATCTCCGTTTACTTAATACGCATCATAATATATCATTGTAAAACTGATTTTTTCGCTTTATTTGTTTTGTGCCTATTCTGACGCACGAAATTTGTATTATCTATTTTATAAAGGGATCATTATACTATTTTATGAGTACCTACTACGCTATATAAGTTATCGAAATTCACAAGGAACACGTGGTGGTAACAGTATAAAATATATTTCCGTCCACGTTAGTTCCTGTGTACACAAAAATTATATATATACCTGTATAATTTTTTGTATAATTTGTGTGCACAATACGAGTAGTGTGTAAACGTGGCATACGGTAGTCACATCCAACGCGTTTTGTTGTCCTACCCCCCACGCTGTTCGTTATTATTACTGTTCTTCGGGTGTATTGCTCATTTGTTCAATACGGCTAATTCCGTTTGTACCTACGTACAGGTAAAAAAGTAGAAATTCGTCCAAATAAAAATCGAAAAACCTTTTCGAAAAGCGGATATGTAGGTACGAACCATAAAAAACGTGTCGTGCTGATGTATTCAATCAACATATGTTGGTGCATTTCAAAAGAAGAACTATGACAATATACGTGTAGCAGTAGTAGGATTTTCAACGAATTTTCACTTTTACCTATATTGATATACTATTAGAGATCTATCCAATTTCCGGTTTAACTAGCCGGGCTGTACGCATTTCTGTGTTCCAACAATTTACTGTTTTATTTTTTGACAACGTCGCACGGACGCAAGAAAATAATTACAAGTGTGTTGTATCCTAATTGTAGGAATTCTAAAATTCCAATTTTATGTAATTTTCGAAGCATGATATTGTATATTTGTATATTCAAAGAATTATTGTTGAAAAATCTTTATTTTATTTATTAAAAAATATTTTCAACATTCGGATCAAATGTGTTCTATTGGTGGCAATCATATGAAAACTATGAATTTAAAGTATATTGTAAAAAATGTATTTATTTTTATCTTTTATAAAATAACATTAACTTAGCACAATAAGTAAAAAATAAATATCGATTTCAATTTTTTTTTGAAGAAAAAGATGACTTTACATTTTAATTTTAAATGCAAAATTGTACATCCGAATCGGGATATCGTGTGAATGAGGTGAAAATTTAAAAATCATTGATAGTATTGAAATGTTATTGTATAAAGAACATTTGTCATCGGATCGTTGTAATTTACTACCCTGGAACTTGTTGTGGACGTTATGCTATTCCGAACCGTACGTTTGATCCTATTGCAGTACGAGTGTTGAATTTGTTTCATATATGCTGTTAAAACGAATGGAAAGAAATTGGGAAGTGAAACGAAATGAAATATGCAAGTGACGAGTAAGTCAAAATTTACATTTTCTGCTGATCATGTTAGGGGATAAGTTTTTCTGTTATTTCACAGTTTTGTACGGAATACCGTTTTCTAATACAACAATAGTTAAAAAATGAAAAAGCTGGAAAAATATTCATACGTATATTTTTTGTAGTGTACGGTTTGCACCGCGCATATTATGTACCGAGATACTGATAGACTACGTGGTTCACGAATATAATGTAATATCACAGAATTTTATATTTTTTCTAATCTGGAAGACCCGTTGCGTACCCGTTTATTTATTTATACATAATAATATTTTATATGTAGTGTACGCCTCTTGTCACCGAAATTCTTACCAGGCACAACGTACTGCACTCATTTAATTATAATAATTAAGATTATCATTGGCCAAAGCCCCATGATAATCGGAGGGCCCGTAATGATTTCTTCTTCTTCTTCGGTAAATTCGGCCACTAAGACCATTCCGACATACATCCTTGCCTCCAATTTTCTCTATCCGTTGCCTGTATCCTCCAGTCTAAACTTCTTTCTAACGCTTTCACATCATTTCTTACTACGTCTTCCCATCTCAGATGTGGTCTTCCCAGCGGTCTTTTCCCAGTAGGGTTTTCTTCTAATACTATACGTATGAGTGGGTTTTGGTTACGCCAAGTATGCTCAGCCCATATCAATCTTTTGTTCTTTATTGTTTCAAGTATACTGGGTTTTTGAAAGAGCGTTTCAAATTCATCATTTTTTTTTTTATTCTCCACTCACCGCTTAGCATGTCTTTTACTGGTCCAAAAATCTTTCGTAGTATCTTTCTTTCCGGAACTAAGAGTTTTCTTTCATCGCTTTTCCTTATTGGCCATGTCTCAGCTCCATAAGTAATTACAGGTCGTATTAATGTGGTGTATAATTGTGTTTTTAAATCTTTTGAAAATTATCTTGATCCCAGTAATTTCGTAAGACCATAGAGGCATTTATTTCCTGATTGAATTCTTGTCCCTATTTCTATTTCGATTTAATTTCTCTCTGAGAGTATAGACCCTAGGTACTTAAATTGTTTTGTTCTTTTAAAATTCTGTAATGATTTATAAGTATAAAATGTCGCTCTTCATATGATTAGCAAGCCGGAACGTTAACATACATTTTTTTTATTATTAGTATTGTTTTATAAACTTAACATGGAGTAGACAGTGTTTCCCAAACTGTGATCTGTGGACCTTTAAGAGTCCGCACGTGTATCGAAGGGGGCCCGCGAACGAAAATTTAAAATATACAAATTATTATTATTTATTAATGTTTTTTTAATTTTTATTTGTACTAATGGGTCCGGCAGAAAAAAAAATTGGGAAACGCTGAAGTAGAGGAGTTTATTCTCTCCCGCGGCGTTATGTGTAGTTCAACGGGTAAACCATAATGAAACAATTATGTATGAAATGTTACATTTACACTTATATTATTATTATTATTAAATATATTTCCGCTAGTGCGGCATATCCATATATGTTTATGAAAGGCATTAAATTAGATAGCGCAGTCGACTCGTCTAATATACGTGATTCTCACGATGTAATGGAATTAAGTAGTGTCAATATTTGATAATCTAGATCCTTGGAATTCGAAATACGAAATCCGGATTTAACTCTAAATTCAAATTTCAGATTTTAAGATCCAGTTTTTATTCTTAAATCGGATTCCGGATTTTGTAGTGAATTTTGTGGTTTCGGATTTTGAAAAGTTGAATTAGTATTCTTTTATGCACGATTTATAATAAAATATTGATAACTATAAATAATTTGCAGTGAATTGATTTTTTAATTATAATACTGAGATCCGCAATGTTAAACCCAAAATTCGGATATTGAAATCCGAAAATCCGTAATTCATCGGATTTGATTCCTATCACTGCTATTAACACGGTAGTAAAAAAAAAAAAATATCCATACGGGTGGTGGTGCGCGAGCGTATAATATAATAATAATGATGTATAATATAGACGGGTGTGCTGTGCTGGGCGAATAAACAGCGATAACAACACAACACGCTGTATAATAGCGTATTATAATATAATAATATACTCCGCGATATTATTGTAATGGTATAATAATCGTGTGGATTCGACGTGGCGGCCGGGTGCGACACGGGTACAATTGTCGTAAAACGCGTTTTTAAGAAAAACGCGTGCGTCCCGTAGACCCTAATAAACGCATACAGGGTGGTCGTTTTCACGAGGATCCGTCCTCGTCGAAATGCTTTACCCGTCAGGCCAGAAAATTCTGTAACGATTTTTACATAGTAATATTGGTCTATGCGTATAATGTGTATACTGATGAGCAGACACTACGTTTCAACTAGGGCATATATCATATTTCACTATTGTAAATCCCACAGCTAATGTCGAATGTGTAAATCGCGGCAGTTCGGCCACGACCTCCATCCAATTTGGCTGCACTCCGTACTGTTTTTTTCTGTAGAAGTCCATAGTCCGTAAGACGTAATCAAAAGCGCGTATATTAAATATTAATAACCAAACCAAATCGATCTACATCTATTCGTAATGTTAAGATATTTCCTTTTGTGCTCCCGAGTTACGGTATAATGTGTTAAAAAGGACTAGAAACCCATCTCTGAATATCATATATTCAACCCCGACCACGTTGCAGTTCTTTTCCGACAACCGTTTACGTCCCGTGCACGGACCTCGTCCGAGATCATTCGTGCGGGCATCCACGATGACGGTACGATTTTTCAACCATGAATCGAGAAACGCACCCTGTACACACCCTGTACGCGTACGGCGGCAGCGGGTAGGCGCTCGACAGAATGACTTTTGAACCATATAAATGGTGTGTGTGTGTGTGTGTGTGTGTGTGTGTGTGTGTGGGTTATGCGAATGAAATCAGTGCATTGTACACGTGTACAACAGCGTATCTGCAGCGGCCCCCGTGGAATGACTTGGCGGTCCGTGTTTGTGTGTATGCGTGTGTATTATGGCCAATAAACGCGAAAGGCAGACGCTTATGTGCGTACGGCAAATATTCCTTCGACCTTATTATTATTGTTACCATTGTGTTGTGTTGTCGAGGCGGCGGCGGCGGCGGCGTATTATTATTGTAATATATTCTCCTCTCGTGTGACGGATTCGGTTCGGTCTGGTCGCGGTGGTCGGCTGCAGGATTTCGCATTATCGATCGATCCCTGCGCCTCGACGATGACCGGTGCGCGCGAGATCGATGGACCGGAACGCGTCCCAGCGCCTAGGATCGGCACAATGCATGGAGCTCGTCCTTTGCGACGGTGCGATAATCTTTGATTATCGTTTTATTATTAACCGTATTATCGTATTATCATTACTATTACAATTTTTATTATTGTCATTGTTGTACATTATGTTGTCAGCCGTCGTATCGGTGAAGGGGGGGGGGGGGTATTATGCTCGAGAAGCGTTCCGAACAAACGCACGAGTGTGTACGATTTTATTCTTTTCCTTCTTACTTAAGCGTGCAGCGCGCACTCAATCGTTTTACGTGCACCCTAACCGCGGTTTAACCGTCTTCGCATTCCGGACCCAAATACCATTCGGATGTAGAAACAGAGCAAGTTGTTGTTTTCATGCGTAGGTATACAAATTATTTATTTTTTTTTTTCGTAGAAATTCTACATTTTCTTCTCCCCCCCCCCCCCCAAAAAAAAAATATTGACCGTGGTTCGGTAAACCCTCGGAACCAGCTTGTAACCCGGACAGATATCGATTGGCGGTCGATCAAACACATTACGGTGAACGTTTTAGTTTATTTTACGAGCTTAACTTAACTGTACGGAGACATTTCAACGTATATTTATGTAATCCTCGCAACAGGCCGTGTTACCTCGCAGTGCGATTCCACGACTCCATTTCGTCGCGGTCGCGCTGCGATCGCTCGACGCGCTCCTTCTCGGCGGCTGTCGGGCGCGGGGCCGTGGCCCACGCGCAACCGTTGGCCAGCGCGTACATGAGACATTCCGTGTGGCCGTTGTCCGCGGCGCTATCGCACGTGAACTCGTCCCACGGGCAATCGTGCTCGTGGGCGTATTTCAGGCATCGGATGTGACCGCCGCGCGCCGCCGCGTCGCACGTGTACGCGTCCCACGAGCACCCGTGCTCGTGCGCGTACCGCAAACACTCTAGGTGCCCGAGGGCGGCAGCGTCGCGGCACACGTCCGCGTCCCACGCGCAACCGTTGTCCAGCGCGTACTTCAGGCACGCGGTTTGGCCGTTGGCCGCGGCCGCGCTGCACGTTCTCTCGTC